TATATATTAGAAAAAGAAAGGGAACTTTATCGATAAACACCTTCTTCTCTCTACATAAATGACCATTTTATAATACTTACAAATGAAATGGAACAAAATCAGTATATTTGAAATGATTTAATATCAATAACCATTTAACTACTCCTTTGAAAAGTGAATGATAGCATGAAAGAGAATTATACAAGTTTACTGCCAAATATCCGAAGGTAAAGGAAAGGATATGTTTGTAAGCACTACATCATGGATATACATATATATATATATATACTCAAAAGAGAAAATAACCAGCTCTTCTTTCCAACTTGTTCATCAACCTATATTCTATGGAATATGGATCTATTTAAATTAAATCAAAAAAGTAGAATGGAATTTATGATAATAAAAACTTACAATCTTCACTAAATCAACTGTTATCTATTATGACTTTATATTCATTTATTCTTTCATGAAAATAATTTTAATAAATATAATTATGGTAATGAATATTGATTTTTCTGATGAGCGTATTTTTAGCGAGTTAGTTTTCTACGGGATGGGGTTGCTAACCCCATGCCAAACCCTCCTCCTTTATCTGGGCGTGGGATCGGTAGTAGCCCCCGGAGGAACTCCAGGCCAAAGGAAAAGAGGACAACCAAAGAACACATTCCGCCGAGAAATGTAGATAAACATGAGAAAAATGAACAAGAATCGGATGGAATTAGAAACGAAGACCCAGGACAGAGTGGGTTACAGAATGCTGGTCGGTGACCTATGCTCCATCGGGAGCAATAGGCGTAAGTAAAGTAAGTAAAAAAATAAATAGTGATATTAAGTTAATAAGTTACATTGTAAATGATAGTTACGTTGAATAAAATGATTAATCATTTATTATAAGATAAATATTTTTTCACATTATGCTTTATATGTCTACTGTGAGAGCAAAAGTTTAGAAATAATATCAAAATAGGAGACTAGTTTTTCAATATACTAAAACAATATAATGATAAAATAGAACTCATTAATCATTCATTAGTGTTTGCTTCTTTTGTTGTTTTTACATTATCGATTGATTATGTTGAGGAGTAGATCATTATATTTTATTAATTAATAAACTATTAACTTTTTTATTATCTTAAATTACTATTTATATAAAATAATAATACAAAATATAATTTACAAAGTTATCTTGGTAATTCCTGACAGAATTAACATGGTTGTCATTCAAACAAATACGTACAAAATTGTTCTCATAGTTTAGGCTGATTGAAACAGTTCGATTAATTTCATTTAATGATAAATAGGTAGAAAGTGTATTTGGATGATATGAAATATTATGTTAATCATTTAGTGAAAAGTGGACGATTTTATGGACGTTTATCAATTACTATAATATATATAACATTTCACAGATAGAAATCATGAGTCAGTTGAAGCTAGACCACCATTGAAAACCTGGAAGCACTGGAAGGCCGTTTCGTCCTAGTATGGGACTCCTCAGCAGTGCGCATCCACGATCCCGCACCACGCGGGCTCGAACCCAGGACCTACTGGCTTCGCGCGCGAGCACTTAACCATTACCACTGAGCCGGCATCCACGGTGTTAATGTCTAACTTCAACGAACGGCCGTCAGTGCTTCCAGGTTTTCAATGGTGGTCTAGCTTCAGCTGACTCATGATTTCTATCTGTGAAATTTCTACAAATCTCCACAAACCCCTTCTGATATATATACATTGTTGACGGTTGCTTAAAAATGATGTAAGTAGTGTATGATGTTAGTCGTGAACAGAAGGTCTGACACCAGAGAGACAAAGGGATCGAATAGTGAAGAATGGAAACAGAATGCAATTTGTATGAAAATGCAAGAACAATGAAATCTGAGTCATTATGAGACAATTGATGAACATCTTACAAATTAAGCATTTACTTTACGATTGTTAGATTTTAATAACAAGTCCTGTAATTTTGTGTTAAATACATTCGACTATCCTACTGGTATTCTTGTTCACTACAATTATATCAGGTTTTCATGCGATTGAGTTATTTGTTATCAAATTTGTTTAAGTGAAATTCAAGGAAATTGCGCAATTTATCGAGATTAAGAGAAATAATTACATGTATAATTAAATAAATTGGTTATTGTCTATCAATTAATATTTACTTCATATTAATTTTATAATTACCTATTGATAAAGAATGAAATAAATGTAACTAATATAACCATGATTAAAAGTTAAGGTTATCCTGTTTTCGATATCCAGGACTGAATTTGGATTAGTCTTTTCTGGTATACGCAAATCTTGTGCAAACTGCCTTGATTCATCTATTCTCATTATATGTTTTAAAAGAAAAGATGAATTGAAGCTAGCAGCGGAATATGGGACGAAACTTGTTACATGGAAGTAGTTTACATGAAATTTACATATGCCAACAGAGACTATTTATGAATACTAACAGTGGAATAATTCAAACCCTTACTAATAACATTGTGACCAACACATCTATTTGGCTGGGACCAGTAGCTCAGTGGATAAATTGTTGGCTTTCTAATTGAGAGATATTGGGTTATAGCTTTAATATAAACATCAACATTGACATGTATGTATATCCATCATAGTTTGAAATATGTTGAAATGCATGCCTTGGATTCCACTGTTAGTAAATACCTATTTATCCTATAAAAGATGATTGATCGATAAAAAATCAATGGAATTCTAGTCATCTTTTACTTTGTTTTTTCTACCTGTGAAAATCAATTTTATTAAATTTATGAATCAAATTTTATTCTACATTTTTATGTCATTCTAATTTCGACTAAATGGATTTCCAGTGTTTCAGTGAGATATCATAACCTATAAAGTTCAATGATATTTGCAGTGAGATAACTATAATTGTAAACATTAGACAACCAATTATATATTACTTACTTACGCCTGTTACTCCTAATGGAGCATAGGCCGCTGACCAGCATTCTCCAACCCACTCTGTCCTGGGCCTTCTTTTCTAGTTCCATCCAATTCTTGTTCATTTTTCTCATGTCTATTTCCATTTCCCGGCGTAATTTGTTCTTTGGTCTTCCACTTTTCCTTTGGCCTTCAGGATTCCATGTGAGGGCTTGTATTGCGACACAGTTGGGTGCTTTCCTCAATGTGTGTCCTATCCACTTCCAGCGCTTCTTCCTGATTTCTTCCTCCACTGGAATCTGGTTTGTTCTCTCCCACAGTACGCTGTTGCTAATAGTGTCCGGCCAACGGATCCGAAGTATTTTGCGTAGACAACTGTTAATAAACACATGTAACTTCTGGATGATGGCTTTCGTAGTTCTCTAGGTTTCTGCCCCATACAGTAGAACTGTCTTGACATTTGTATTGAAAATCCTGACCTTGGTGTTGGTTGACAGTTGCTTTGAATTCCAGATGTTCCTCAGTTGTAAATATGCTGCTCTTACTTTGCCCATCCGCGCCTTCACATCTGCATCAGATCCACCCTGTTCATCAATGATGCTGCCCAAATATGTAAAGGTATTTACATCTTCCAAATCGTCTCCGTCAATTGTGATTGGATTGGTGCATTCTGTGTTGTATCGGAGAATCCCGCTTTTCCCTTTGTGTATATTGAGACCTACTGCTGCTGAGGCTGCTGCCACACTGTTCGTCTTCTCCTGCATTTGTTGTTGCGTTTGGGATAGAAGGGCCAGATCATCTGCGAAGTCCAGATCGTCCAACTGCATCCTAGATGTCCATTGTGTCCCGCGTTTTCCTTCGGATGCTGACGTCTTCATGATCCAGTCGATCACCAGGAGAAAGAGAAAGGGTGAGAGTAAGCAACCTTGCCTGACACCGTTCTTTACCTCGAACGAGTCTGTCAATTGTCTTCCGTGCACAATTTTGCAGTTTAATCCGTCATAGGAGTTCCGTATGACATTGACTATCTTCTGAGGCACGCCATAGTGCCGAAACTAATTAATTATACAGTGAAATAATTGATGTTTAATTCATGAATTTTTATTTTTATCAAAACTCAGTTATTTAAAAGTATCATATTCATCACAAACTTTTAAGCTTTTCAATGCAATTTATTTATTGTGTCGTGAATGAACCAATCTTAAGACATTTGAATACTAAGATACAATATAAATATATCTAATGCTCTACATCACTTTGAATGATTCTCTAAGTAATATCAACCTACACTCATAAATCTTTTCATTTATATAAATCAATCAACAAAATAAATAATTATTCTTTTAATACGATTACTATATATAGAGAACAAAGAAAAAACACAATCTATCTATATAAGGTTAGCGAGTAATTATACAGCTTATATTTCTATATTTATTGTTGCATAGGTAGAAAAATCTTGTTAGAAAAGAAGTTATATATATATAATAGTGTGTAGAAAATTAATAGTTCTTAATCAATAAGTCGGATCCAATTTCAGTGGAAAACAATGAGCATAGTTATTGTTTGTTTGTTTGTTTTCTCTTTTTTTTGTGTGTAATATTGTTTCATTATTTTTGTTTGTTTTTTCAAATTTATCAATAAACTATCAAAATTCTATGTTGAAAAAAATATAATAACGATATGAAGAGAGAAACGAATACATAAATGTATTATATCTGCATTATTGATTTAAAAAAGAAGTGTGTGTAAATGACTAGAATGGATATACTGGTTGATTGAGACGAAATGATCAATATACACATATAGATAATGATTGAATGATCTTTACTAGTAAACGTGTTCATTATCAAATGATCCATGTTAAATTAAGTAAATATGCAGGTAGGTAGGTAGATGAATTTATTAAAAAATAAACTAAATAATGCTCGATATATTAAATTAGAGAATAATTAGAAAACAATTTATATATATATATAATGCTATACAGAAAGGAAATGAATACATTATCTGTTGACCAGCACATTCTATATCCTTATCATCATCATCATTGCCAGATGTTGATTTGGTAAATAAATTCCAAGTGGATTTTCAATACAGAACTGAAATAATTTGAGCTATCATCTTTCAGATGAAGTGGAAGCCTGTCAATGAAATGAAAATGATGAGAAATATTTCTGAAAATATCATGTTAATTTTGCTTCAGAAAAAATATTTAAAATTTAGTCATGAAATAAATGCTAATTACCATATAATCTAATAGATAATCAGTTAATAGGTTTATAATCATCGTATAAACTTTTAAATTCGTTTAGTCCATTGTAAATTGAGCTGAATACAGAGTGAGAAAACATTAGACCTTTTAAACACATTTCTATAAAATTGATTTATGATCAGTTGATAGTTACTTAGTACAACTGGTAACAAATATACTTCTTAAAAGCTTTATTCAATTCGACTTGATGAGCTGTGTCAACCAAGTGAAAGAGAATAGAACTTTTAATCACTTTTACCCGTCCTTTGTTTAACCACGACGGATGATGTTCAGTAATGCGATGATGGACTTGCCGAATTGTACGCCCAATATAACTGGCTCCATAGGAGCAGTTGAAACGATAGATACACATAGATTTGGCGAATTCAGGCAGTCTGTCTTTGTTGGCTGTTCTTATTTTGGGATAGTTTTAGAAAATGGTATTTAATCTGGCAGCATTAAATGTTTTTTGTATTGGCTCTTCTTAGTTTCTGAGTCAAGATTTCTTCAATGGTGTCATTTATGAATTGTAGTTTTATGAATGGTACCTTCTTATGGACGGTGGGTATCTTTGTCCTTGTTTTCTTCTCCATCATATGTTTGTCGATGAAAATTCTTATGTTGTTTACTTCTCAGCAAAGCAAATCTTTAGGACGAGTATATGAAATTAAGTCTATCGTTACTGTGACACTAAGACACTACTATCAAATAAATTGAGTAACGTAATATAATCAAGTGTGTTTCTTATTATTATATAGATTTAGTCTTTAAAATTTATGCATAGTGAATAAAAATACTTACCAAATATTTCAATTCTAATTCAAATAGTCATCAGTGATTTTCAAAAAATATATTAAGAAGTGAATAAGTTTTATTTGCATAAACAATTCACATTTATTAAATGGGTATAAAATTACATTTAACTATCCATTTAAAAACCGTGTCACCGTTTTTTATTTTAGAAATGTCTATTGAATATTGTATACTACTACTGTGGTGTGTGATACTTGACATAAATAGTATATGATGTTAGTCGTGAACAGAAGGTCTTACACCAGAGAGACAAGGGGATCGAATAGTAAAGAATGGAAACAGGATGCAATTTGTATGAAAATGCAAGAACAATGAAGTTTGATTCATTTTGAGACAAATAGTGGACATTTTTCCAACTAAGCATTTACTATATGATTATTAAATTTATTAACATCTCCTGTATTTTGGCGTTAAATACGTTCGATTGTCCCCACCCGTGTTCTGTTCGTTACTACTACTAGGAACAGTTTTCTCTGTGTTGTTTTATTTGAACTTCAATTGATTCGTGAAACGGTTGATTGTTGTTTATTTTTTACACAGAAAAAATAATCTAATATGTTACTATTATTTATAAATTTATCTATAAAGGAATGACTAAAGTAAATGTTGAAACATATATAAATCAGTAGAATAGATATTGGTTTTAAAAGCAGTTCGAATGAAAGATCTGATGTGTGTAGAAAAGCAGTGAGATTAAAACGAGATTGAATTAAATGAATTTGAATTTTGTCAAGTTCATCTTAACAGAAAATATTCAATCCTTTTAATTGGAACTTATAGGAGAAAAGTATATCAAAATGAAACAACAATTATTCGATTAACTTTTAAATAATTCAACCGCTATCACACACTCTTCATTTCTATATAGATTTAAATATCATACTTTATATTAAAAGTTTTCATTACATTTAAGGAAAAAATTGAATAAAATGTAGGTATATGACGTGAATACTTCAAATAATATCCGAATGGATGCCGGTTCAGTGTTCTAGTGATTAAGCGTTCGTGCACGAGACCGAAGGTTCTGGGTTCGCGTCCCACGTGCAGGATCGCGGGTGTGTACTGCTGACGAGCCCCAAACTAGAACAAAACAACCCTTCCGTGCTTCCAATTTTTCAATGGATATCTAACTTTGATTTATGAATTCAAATATTGCAGATAAAAATTAAAGCTGCTCAGTAGGTTTTCTTTTAAACATCGAAAAAATATTAAAAAATTAAAAATATTATGGTTGAACTTGATGTCCATTGTATAGTTGATAAGTTAAAGTGATTATGAATTAACATCATTTATGCCCTATTTCTTATGTAATCTACCTTAATATGAGTTCACAAATTCACTTATGAAAATTATTAAAACTCAACTAGACTCTTTTTTCAGTTTTAAGAAAACAATTATTTTATAAACAGACGATTTTCTGCTATTAAAACAACTTAAGAGAAAGAGAATATCAGTAGGAAAGGTAGAATACTTCGATTATTTTATACACCTGATAGATAACTATGAACAATGGTTTGTAAGGGAAAACGTAATACGACTAGGGAAAACTCATAAATTAGTGAGAACTACAACTTTGACTTATCGAGTATTCACACATTCCTGTTTTGTTTCATACTATAAAATACCATTTTAAAAAAAGAGATTATAGACAAAGATAGATGGTGACTAGTAGTGGAATCCAGGACACGCGTTTCGTCCAGTTCGAGACCTGTCAGCCGGATGTATCTGTATCCCAAAGTTGATGTTCACTCTGGGGCTCTGGGATGCTGACGAGCCCCAAATAAAACGAATCTAATCTGCTCTGAAAAATGGTGGTGATACAAATACGTCGTTCTTGACATTTGAAAAACTTATAGACTGTCAAACAAGAATTTAATACATGAAATTAGTAGAGCTAAACCTTGAGCTCATCCACATCAATCAAAATATAATGTCAGTTGTTAACTAATAGAAATGCTCAAAGAGAGTCCTCGGCCAGATAATGTATGATATCGAACGCTCCAGTTGTTATTATTTGAAATCTTTGTTATTTTTTTTCGCTTATAAGAATGTATGAATTATTAGGATATGCTTTAACAGAGATATCATGATAGATTTTGATGTAAATAAAAATAAAATTTATTTACGTAATAAATCAACCTATCAGTAGCAGTGTTATTCAGTAAGCAAACATGACATTTCCAATGCGAAAACCAACAATAACTAAGTTTTTATTATTTAACTTGTACTTTCAAATACATTGAAGATCACCAGCGACAAAAGTGACGTCACTGAGTAAATAACAACCGAGATTAATATTTCAAAAACTTGTTTCAATTGAACACTCGAGATTGATCAAACATCTGTTCTGTTACATTTCAAAGAGATTCTATTTTACACTAATTTTTTATTTCTAATACTACTAATAATAGTTTCATCATGGTTTAAAGACTCAGTATTTGTGCCTTATTATAGAATTCTTATATTTTGAATGAATTCCATTCCTGTTTTCAAGATTAATTTCTTCGCAAACCCACATATGACAAAAATATTCCATTCGATTGACCATTTGTCAAAATTACAATTCAATCTATGTTTGTGCATAATTCATATAAGGTTAGATTATTTAGATGATGGAAGTTATATCACGTAACAATCCAAAATCAATTTATTTCATGTATAGAGTAAGGATATGTGTGACTAATGATATTGATATTCATAGGAAATAGTCACATAAAATGGAAAATAATCTTTAACAAATTATATATCTATCTATTATCCCATTGTCATCATTATTGTCAAGTTAAGGAATAAACGTCAATGTGAGTTGGATAACATTAGTTTGATATCAATACATTAGAATACGATAAAGGAAGTTTTGTCATGTATACAAATGGTGCATATTATCTAAAAAAGCGATGAAACATTTATTATTGATAATGATTACATGTGAAATGTAAACTACTATTTAGTTAATAAGTAATAATCATCCTATGTACATTCATCTAATTGAATGTAGACACAAAGCTTTAGACAATGAAACAATAGTATACTAATCATATGATAAGCGGAAGAAATATCAGTATATGGTGCTGAATATTAACTTATGTTAAACTAGTCGATAAAGTTTCTGATCACATACGTAATTTAAAAAAAGAAGAAATAAAGCTAAGGCATCTAATCAGTTGCTAAACAACGGTTTTAAACAAGAGTTTTAACTAATAACACTCCAATTTTCTTTGTAAGTAATATATTTATACTTGTTATGTTTATATCATCATCATAGATTTTGAAAGAATACTCTTTTGGATAAGAAATAACTAAGTGCTAATGGAGTTTAAACCATCATTTAGTCAACGTTGGTCAGTTGTGTTACTTATATTCGGTTATCAGAATATAAGTTCATGTTAATACAATTATCATATTGATGCTATCTATAAGTAATTGATTAAATCATATATATCCATTTATTCAACAGTCATAATTTTACCTTAGGTGGTTGGAAGTGTATTATATGGCAGAGAATGTGAGTTACACAATTAAAAGTACTATGACTATTACTTAGTGATATTTTATTGCAAATTCTTTAATTATTTTAAAACTTGGTTAACGACATTATCATCGGTAATGTGACATTGTTCCATTATCGTGTTGTATATTTAACTATTTTAAACAACAAAATTTACTACTGATCACACATGTTATTAACTAAGAATTTATTTTCTTCAAAGTTAAAGATTATTTAATATTCTTAGCTTTTGTTTGTTTTACCTGAACTAATCACTTAGCTAATTCGATACTAGTTGATATAATAATAATGTGGAAAATTTAGTATTTCATTTATGATAAACAGTTTCAATAGTTGAGATCATGAGTCAATCGAAGCTAGACCAGTATGAAAAACCTGGAAGCACTGGACGGCCGTTTGATCCTATTGTAGGACTCCTCAGCACTGCGTATCCACGACCTCGCCTCACGGGGTCTAAACCCAGCACCTACTGGTCTCGCGAGCGAGCAATCGACTCATGATGGCAACTATTGAAATGACTAAAATCTCTACAAAATTCCTTCTGATAATAAACAGTTTCCTTTAAAAAT